ACTTGGTGTTAGTAAACAAAGTCCCTTTAACTCTGGTTTGTCCATTCATTTCCCTTTTTTTTTTTAGAGCAAGCTTTTGTCTTCAAGCCTTGTTATTTCTCTGTCTTTACTTTTGCTATCCTGAGTGTGTACCTTTCATCTGGTGTGTGTCTGAAGCCTTGAATCCTTGTGGTCAGCACTCAGTTGTTTTCACTAAGCTTGTGGGAGTGAGTCAATTCACTCTTCTCTTTTTTGTTTGTTTGTTTACTTTTCAGCGTGGCTGCCAGCCGTGTCTCCGGTGCCTCTTCAGGGATCCGCCCCTCTTTCTCAGAGCTCTGCTTTCTCCAGCAGTGAGAAAAATCCTGATGTAAGTGTCTTATCTCCTGGTGATCTTCTTTCTCCCTCACTTTCTCCTTCAGACACTCTTTCTTTCTTCTCCCTTTCTGAGACTCCCTTCTCCTCTTTCTTTTCTTTTCCCGGAGCTTCTATCCTAATATGGTAATAGCTCCGGAAGCGGTGTTCTCTGGCTCTTTTGACCGCATCGCTGTTTACTCTTTCACATGTGGCATGGGCATTCCCTGGGGACAACTAGCAGTGGCTCAAGGTGCACCACCGCTAGTTGTCCCCGGGGAACCAAATGTCCATGCACATCTGGACACAGCCAAAGGGTTTTGTAGTAGGCCCTGAGAATCTGTCCTAAAAATGCGATGGTACTGCAGGTCGTTAATAGGGATGAGAAGAAATACTATTTCTTGGGACCTTGCTACAGTATAATGATGTTGACATCTTGAAGTTCACACAGGGGACAGAATACAGGTGCCAATACCTTTTTTGGCCTTTTGCTTCCTTAGATGTTTTTTGTCACTCACTGATCAGTCAGTTGTCTCTTCTAGCTATCAAAGTATTGCAATATGAATGTCTTCATATAATAATTCTTAAACCAAGATTACTTCATTCTATCAAGACAATGAATCTTCAGGATATTTGTTTGCCAAATTCAAATCCAGGATGTTTGGGTTTAGTATGGCATATCTTGGAAGATCAAGAAAGCAGGTCAAATTTCTACCTTTTGAACCTTTAACTTGGCATTAACTGTGGACTTTTAGTCTTGTACTTCAGTAAACTGGTAGACTGAAGACCTGTTATAGTATTGCCTTGTGCCAAACCTCATTAAAAAACCACAAAATATCAACCTCTCCTGAAAAGCTCAGGTTGACATGAAAAATTGTAGAGGAAGATATTGGAGCTCTAACTCAACAAGAAAAAGATTGCTGTTGTGAGTACAGGCTATAGCGTTCATTTCCACAGTGGATAACAAATCACTTACCTAAAAACAAACCAAAGTTGTTCAAATTAACCTGCCTTTAGTTTCATCCCTCTCCCACAACTCACACCACTAGTTTAAACATCTAACTTTGTGTTTCAGGGAACACTGGTGGCAGTTAGGGCTCATACCTGCAAACCCAATCTCTATAATTTCTGAATGACAAAGAGAGCCAACAGACTAAGTATAGAACATCACTGGTGACTTAGATTTACCATACCACTTTTGAAGAGAGAAATTTATCTCCTATCTTGAAACAGACAATAGTCTGAACAGTGCTGAAGACCACCTACACCGGTGCCTAATGTCCAAATGCCCTTTTCTAAGCAAATTGTTCAAGAAACTATCAATAAATGAGTTCAACAATGCCTGTCAGTTGGGCGTTAATCCAGAGCACATTTCTGAGAAAGCACTTGATGATCTGGTGGATAATCTCCTGTTTATAGGTAGGGACCTACTTAACTTGCAGTGAGACAAAGTAATTTTTGCAGTCATTTCGTGGCAGCCCCTCCCCTCAGCACTGATTAGAGGAGAGGACATACCTCTCAGCACTAATTAGCAGGAAGGCCCCAGGGGGGAGGGTCAACTGCCATTTTGTCTGTTGCCCCCTTCATGCAACCACAATTTAGGCAGATCCCTATTTATAGATGGAGGAGTTGATTCACCTTGATCCTGACAGACCTCTTTGCAGTTTTGGCATAGTTGATCTTCAAATACACATATTTCCATCACAAAGACAGCTGCAAGGGGTACATAGCACTGCCCTGAAATGAATCAGGGTGCTCCTATCAAGCCAAACTCGAAAGAACATAATTGAGCAATTATTTCTTTATCTTCAAAGCCTTTATTTTTGAGCAATCTCTCACAAGTATTGGTTCTCTCACTGGTCATCAATCAATATAAATCTTGAGAAAGCTGACGAAACAAAACAAACTGATTCACTAGCAAAGGAAAGATGCCATTCAGCTCTACTTTTCCTTTATGCCAAATGCAAATACAGGCCGTATACAGACATTCAGTTTCTACTGGGGGAATTGCTGTTTTCCTGGAAGAAAACAAAAGCATGAAGCCATTCAAGCCTTTTGTCTTGGAGCTAAAATGGCTGTGCTGAGAGAAAAATAACCCAGGAGTAACCACGGTTAAATGAGTTCCTCCAAGGAGACTGAATGTCTACACTCTTTGCCCTGGTTTAACTCCTGGGGACTATGGGAAAGGTTTCCATGCCGTCCCAAGATTGGGGTCACCCCAGTCTGGAGAAGGCACTGGGGACAGCTGCTCAGCCCCTTCCTTACACTGGAGGGGGGGAAGCAGGAGTCCCAGCTTCTCCCTACAAGCTTTTCACACCAAAGTTCCTGGGATGAGAAGCAAGCAGGGCCTTTGCCATGCCAGTCCTTCTACTCACTCCCAAGCACCAAGAGCTGAGTGCTGCTCCCTGCCTGCTTCCCATTGCCTCCACCACTCAGCTAAGTTGTGGTAGTGGCAATTGAAAAGCCAAGGTGGCTGACAGCCTCGTTGAAAGTCCATCTCTTGGTCATGCCAAATTCCCCTTGCATCATCCCACCACTTATCTGAGTGACAGGGGCAGAGATTAGGAAGCCAGAGGGCCCAAAAATCTAGCATATGGAAGCTTTCTCCACACATGGCTCCCAGCCCTGCCAGCTTCCCCTTGCCACCCAGCTGACCCAGAAAAGTGATGGCAAGGCAAGCTGCTGTGCTGCAGTGACACAGCTCAGGTGCCTTGCTGCTGCTGTGATATATTTCCACCTTGGTCTGCAGTGCTCTGGTCAGCCCAAAGCAACGAGGGAGAAAACAGGCTGTGGCAAGACTCCTGCAGCCTTGCTGTGGCGGTGGAATGCTGTCCTCCCCTCCTTCCCACACCCCTCTTGGTCAGCCTGGAGGAATGCAAGGGGCAGAGCAATTCTCCTGCAGGGGAGAACAAAGGGGGTTCCCACCACAGAACTGATGGGCAGGTTGAGGCTCTCCTGGGGCTTGAACCCTTCCTGGCTGGCTGTGGCAGCTGTTGCATTTCAGGTAGGGGGGAAGACAGACTGTCAATTAATGGGCTCCTTTAAAATCTGGGGTGGACCATGGGAGAGGTGCTTGTAAAGATCTCCAGCCATGGGGCTGGTGAAACGTCTGTACACCTCCTGGGCTATGTTTCTACTAGAAGAAATTTATTTTGTTAGACATGAATGTCTGTATGTAGCCACAATCATCTCTTGTCTTTTTTGTTACCTAGATGAGATGAACACCTGCAAAAAGAGTACTTGGCTAAAACAGAACCCATGCAAGAAGCAGATTTTCCCTTTGTCACTTTGACCTCTCGAAACGGCTATATTACTACAACATAATCAGAAAGGGAATAATCTATAAGAAACAGACCTCACACAGGAGCCTAACTAGACTGTTGCATTCATTACAAGAAGTAAAATGATTATAGTAAATGCAAACCTAAATTACTAAAATTAATTTGTCTTCTATTAGTCATGCTATGTTTCTTAAAAGTTAAGACAGACAAGAGAGGGTACAGACTTGGCATTGATTTTGAGCGAAATAAATGATGGATTCTATACAGTACCTTGAAACTTATTTTGGTGTATGTGAAAATGTGCGTATCATTCTTATAAGAATGAATACTTTTTTTAGTTCAGCTTATCCACACTTCCTAATAAATTTGCTATCTAAAACAATTTGTTCCATGGGTCTGTATTCTGCTTCATTTTAAAATAATAGCCTCTAGCCTTAAGTATCTTGAAGCAGCAATTAAAGAATCTAGCCTTAAATATCTTGAGGTAACATGCCTTTCAAGAATGGAAATGACGACTGCATTATACACGCCCTTCAAATATATGCCACAACTATGATTTTTAGTGTCTTTGAAAACACCCCTACAAAATACAACAACAAATATTCCTTACCATAAATACAAGATAAACATGTTCTATGGAAAACTGAAAAAAGTTACATCCTACATGTAACATTTTTTTAAATGTAGAGAAACTGACTAGGTATTAGAAGGGAAAAGCCTACCATAAACAAAGCTTAAACTGTGCCAAATATATTACCAATGCTTTCAAGATGATTCTTTAAAAAAAGTTACTTCAGGATCAAAAAAATCTGTTTCCAAATATTTGCAACATCTCAAAACCTAGAAAAAAAGTCAAGATATCAAATACGTTAAGAAAGATTACTTCAATGATGCCACAGTTATCAGAAAGCAGGAACCCATTTTCAAAGTGATGTCCTAAAATTACTAATGCAAATCTTATTGCTTGCGAATGGGATTTGTCTTTATCTCATCAGTGAATCAAACTTAACTGGAAAAAGATTAAACAAAAGCTTATATGATATTTCTTCACTCTTTATGGTGCAGCATGCTTTTAAAAAAGTAAATTATAAGCTAACTATCAAATGTGTTTAATAGTTAAAAATGGATGGAAAAAGATTATTACAGGGGAAGGGTGAAGAAGGAATGAAAAAAACGTTGAATAATACACTATCTCTGGAAAAGAAAATGTCTGGATTAATCTGCTGATCGACTCTTAAAAACTTCAGGCTATAAATAGTTGATACCATTAATGACTGTAGTAGTCAAAAACCAAAAGTCTTTCTAATATCTTTATGGGATGTTTTGGCAGTTTCACTGAATGCATGTTCTGAAGCTGTTCTGCTTGTTATCTTCGGAGCCTCAGATACTCACACAAATTTCCAATGTGTGGCTTCACCATTAGTCATCATAAATCAGAGTTCAGAAACAAAATAGAATGTATTGTCTCTTCACCATTAATTCTCTTTCGTTATCTGTAATCAATTTAAAAGAGGGCTTATTCAACTATTTACAAACAAGGTATCATGTTTCATCTTGCGGGGGGGGGACAAATATTTCAAGGGCTTTCTTCTTAGGAAATCAGTGTTATGGTTATTTTTGTGTAATCCAAGTAAAACGTAAAAATATTACATTTTAAACATATCATGTAACATTTCCTCTTCCTTTACAAAATTTTTCTTGTGGATCCAACATCAGTAAGCCTCCTTTCACCATGAAAGAAAATACAGATTTATTGTTGCTGCAGTTGTATTTTATAGAGAAAATTATTTTATTGCAGGAGGAAAGTACTAGCAGAGGTTCCAGCTGCATGAATACTAGTTAGCTAATATCCTTTCCAAGAAATCCCTGGGCAAACACAGCAGTGAATACAGGACAGCAAAAAGGGAGGTGCAACTGCACCACTATGCGCCCCTGAATCCATGCCTGGAAAAATATGTTTTCTTCTATTTAACCTCCTTTTTGAATTACTACAGATATTTGAAACCAAGAATTTCTAATATCTGTGAATGACTTTTAGTATCCACCATATAACAGTTTTTTGCTATGGGTTGCCTACAAATATCTATGGGTGGGAGCACTTGCATTCACTCAGGTAGTCTCTTGACTACTTAGCAGCTTTCCAGATCTTATTTCTCCTAGAAAAAAGTCTAGAAGAAATAAGATTGGCCAGGGAGCCTCAGCTTTCAGAACAAGCACTAAACTTCTCTTGCAGCTTTTTCTCACCATGATTTTTACACACACACACACACACACACACACACACACACACACACGTGCACGCGCGCACACACACGCGCACACACACACACGTGCACACTAAAATAACCAAGGTCTCTCCTGCAGCCTGTGGCGGAGAATCTATTACCTCCATTGAAAAATACTAGGAAAATGATCTCATATCACAATAAGGAAGACTGCAGAAGAAAAAGAGGTAGGAAAATACTGCTTTCTAAAGCAACAAAACTAATTAACCTCCCCTCCCCAAATGTAGCATTTTAATAACCTGATGCATCATTTTCCATTAAGCAAAAATAAATCTGATAAGTCACAGTGTGATGACCACACTTCACCATGAAATTTTACTTACATATAAGATAATTATATAAAGAAAACATAGTGAGAACAAATCCTAATAACTAAAATGTGGTTACTGACACTAAGCCCAAATGCTAGCTGATGAGTCATATATTCCCCTGACAACCATACATATAAAGACTTTTTTCTATGGGCAGACTTTTCTCCTCCAGCTCTGTCACACAAATAGTTACACATTATTTAAAGCTCTTTGTTCACTTTATGAAGGTAAAGGCACACTTAAACAAACCCAAAATAGAATCCAAAATCTATCTTCCTGTTTGCTCATATGATTTCCCTTCAGCTAATATGCAAAGGTAACATCAATTTTTAATACGTGAATGCTTTGTTAAATTTAAACACTTCCATGCTTAATCCTCCAACTTGAAAACCAAATCAATGAGTTTATGCATGTGTGAAAGGGAATATATATTGTAGAAGTCAGAGTTTATTTCAAGATACAATGGTAAATTCTGAAAATCAAGATGTTGAATATTTATACAGACATATTTTATCCCAGATGGAAGCACAAGAAATGTAACTGCTCTCTTGCACCTATTTTTAGAAGAGGTGTAACAGAATGACAACTTAGAAAACACCGACATGAAAATTTAGGGAGAGGTAGTTAGCTGTGTTAACTACCTCAGTCAGTCAGAAGGCAGGGTAGATATGCACCTTCAGAGACTAAGATATATATAGGAGAACACAAGCTTTTATGAACCCAGGATCATGTCATCAGATGCTATGAAAGGACATGCAGAAAGCAGAACATAAGGAGATGAAAATTAGAATACAAAAGACATGGGATGTGGGGAAAGGGAGAGGGAATGCTAGGAGAGAAAAGCAGAGGATCAGAAACTCTAAGGAACAAAAGGAGGTCAGAAAAACTAATCCGGGTACTGAGATAAGAATCCATAGTCTCTGTTTAAACCATACTTAACACAGTCCAATTTGTGGATGATTTCTTCTTTCACAGTTTCCCATTCAAATTGGATTTTAAGTTTTTTTGCCTGACAACAGCAATCCTGAGGTCAATGATGGCATGGCCAGGGGCGCTGAATTGTTCCGTCACAGGCTCTTCTCAAGCTGATGTCAGATCAGTGTTCATTCATTCTTACCCTTAGAGATTGCCCTGTTTGTCCAATGTTGACAGCCTGGCGGCATTGTAAGCAGGCGGTGGCATATATGACGTTAGTAGAGTTGCAAGTGAATGAACCTTGGAGGCTGTACTCTTTGTTATTAAGTCCAGCAATGATGTGGTCTGTGTTGATCTGGGGATATAGCAAGCATTTGGGTTTATTTCAAGAAAATTCAGGCAATGGATAAAAAAACAGAATTAACAGAGAAGGAAGAGAAAGTCAGAGGATAAGTCAAAAAACAGGACAGGACTATGAAGAGGGACAGTAAGCATGTTTCAGAGACATTTCCTCTTGTTTGTAGAGCAATGATAAGCTTGGCAATTTAAAGTGCCAGTCTACACAGTTAACATTCAGACTAAAAAGTCACCATTTTTCTTAACAGCTTTTCTCCAGCTCTATGCTCAGAGTCAAATCTATCGCTTTCAGATGTCTTTTTATGGATTTTAACTCCTGCTAGCAATGAGAAAATAACCTGGATTCTATTCTCTGTGCATTATTAATTTGTATCATCAATTTAATGGTTTGTTAAATTCTAATCAGGTACATGCATGCAAACCTATTGCATGCCACATTTGCACCACCTATAATTAGCTCTGCAGAACTCTTTATTACTGATGCATGAGAAGGAAAACAACTCAGCCCTACTCTCAGATCTTGTTCTGAGTCTGCAGGGGGAGACAAACAGTTGGGAGAAAAAGTCTTTCTGCATCTATCAAGTGCACTTGTTCTGGAAAGCACTACAAAAAAAAATGTTCTAGACAGCTATATTTGTCAGAGACACAATAGCAGGTAATATGCTTTAGAAAGCAGCAGGAAAGAGTCACTTGAACTTAGTTAACAAAATGAAGGCAAAAAAATTAAAAGTGTTATGCAAGTAACAATTATTTGGTTTCTCATCTTGTGGCATGTATTTCTAAAAGCAGTTCTTGGTAAGGAAATGAACTTCAATTATTATGAATGGCAGAGTATAACCAGTGAAAGATACTGAGTGTGCCACTTAAAAAAATGATGTATGAAACATCTTGTTCAGCCTTGCAGATTCTATTTTACATTTAAGGGTCCTTATAATTTCTGTCAGTCTGATTGGAAACTCACAGGTCTAAAATTTAAAAATGAGAACCATTTTTCCACCTTAGTACACATCCTTGCTGCTATTAACATTCATCAAAACATCAAGAGTAAAACACTCCTTTTGTTTCATGGAACCAAGGATTCTGAAGCAAGTGTTTTGTAGAGATTCTTTATGTAGAGATTCATTTACATAAAAAGCATTCACTGATGGTCCTTAATTTCACATAAAATCGCTGTAGTATAAGTTCCCCTTATTTAGTTTAATGAAAGGCTACATTTAACACTTGCTTACATGGATTCCTATCAAAGGTAGAACATAATTATGACCTGCTGAAATGAAAAAGACAGGTGAAACTTAGCTGTTTTCAAAAAGTTGTTTCTGAAATGTCACTTACTCAAATATTAAAAAGTGGTTTCTAACTAATGCCTTGGAATTATTCTTTCACTCTTCTTGAAAAGCAGTTACTGTAATTACAGAAATGGCAGTAACATGAATTGCTCACTTGCAGTTCACAACAGTTGTTATCACAGTTCACAAGAGCACTGTATAAATAAAGCACACAAAGGGGAGCCCATATACTTGGTACACTTTTAAAAAGCCTCTTCAGTAAGACATTCTAAAGAGAAACTATTTTAAAAGTTAATGAATTCCAGTAAAAACATCTCAGGACGAGATTAAGGCATGGGGGCTCTAATTACACAGGCAGAAAAAAACAAATTTGCCTAGCTGTTAAGAAAAGAAATGCCCATGAGTAAGCAGCCAGTAATAAGAGCGTATATCACAAAGAAAGGTGAAAGATACAAAACATTAGATGTCGTCTATCACCGCTATCTTCCTAGAGGATGAGGCATAGGGAAACAACAAAGAGCACAGCAAAAGAAAAAAAAACCCTGATCCAGAAGCCCAGGTCCTCACTATCACGGACAGCCATGCCATAAATTCCCTTTCAGAAGCAGTATTTGGGGAATTTGTCAGGAAGGGGAACCCAACTCCTGAATGCATATGGTAAAGAAGGGGTAAAAAAAGGAGAGAGACATACATTCTTTATGTAGGGATTTCTAGTACTTCTCTTTCAACCAGACTCTTCCTAATTTAATATGCCTAATCTGTAGAGTGAACAAGATTACACTGAAGTTACCATAGAATTCAAACAGGGATTCTGTTGTTGGAGTATGCCAAATTTTCTTCTTCTCTAGAACCGATCTCATGTGGCTAAGGAAAAAAACAGGATTCAGAATCATTCACTACAGAAACCTGAGGTCAACTATTGAAAAAAAAAAAAATCACTGTGTCTATCCCCAGAAAAATTTGGCTAAAACTACTCTGATTTAGTGTATATTGTGGTAAACATACATTATATAAATGCCATGTGTCTGCAGCTGTTCCAGAGCAGCCACTTGCAATAAGTAGGCAAGCTACTAACTTGCACTTTACCAGTTAGTGGTAAGATGCTGATATAATAGCTCTGAGCAGCTATACTTGGATAGTTACTTGCCTATCCACTCCAGTTGCTGTTGTAATTTACATTAGTGTACATCTTAAAAATGGCTGAAGTTCTTCAGAAATGATCCTTGAAAAGAAAGGAACATCTTTGAAGCACTTTATTCAACATCAAGCAGTTTCTGAAAAATCTTCACCCTTCAGCAGTCCTTCAGCATGTCACATTGCCCCATCCCTACATCAACACAGCACTGAAACACACCAAATTTGCACCATTCTGGGGTTCAGATTACTTCAACTGCCCTCCATGGGCTACGTTTCCTAAGTACCAGTAGAAGCATCAGCACACCCCAGTTAAAAACCCCAAGACTTGGCTCTAGCCAACATCCCAATGCCTCAGGAAACAGTGGGGAGTGGGGAATGGTATTCATGACATTCATGAGGGGACCACTGACTGGCTAGCAAAAGAACTAAGACATGGAATTACCATATACCTTCACCTCTCTAAGAGCTATCTTATACCCCAACGTGGAGACCACAAAACACAGGACTCTACATCACACGTATTAATCATTAAACCAGAGCTCCCTGTCTTGTCACACCATCCCTTCCATAAACTTACCCAGTTCTAGCCTAAAGTCTCTTTCCTCCCCCAAATTCTTTGATAGGAAAACCATTTCAAAAGTTCACTCCTGTGATACTTAACATTCATTTTTTAATGTCCAGTTAAACATATCCATGGCCATTTGATTTTGAGCTTTATAGCTTAAAAAACAGCACTTTGCCTTCCTAATACCTCTGGACTCTCTCAAGCTTCTCCACATCTTTCTTGAATTGCAGAGCCCAGAACTGGATGCAGCACTCCAGCTGCAGCCTCGCCAAGGCCAAGTACAGAGGGAGGATGACATCCTGAGATTTACTTGAGAAGCATCTATAGATACAAGCCAGGGTTTTGTTTGCTTTATCAGCTGCGACATCGCATTGGTGGCTCATGTTCATCTTGTGGTCAGTCATGAACCCCAAGTCTCTTTCAGCCGTGGTGCTAGCAAGTGTAGCACTGCTGAGCCTATAAGGATACCATGGGGTTCCTCCCCCACCCCCGCCCGAGATGGAGTACCTTGCATTTATCAGTATTGAACGTCATCAGGTTTGTGTCCGCCCACTTACTAAGCTTATCCAAGTCAGCCTGGATCACTAGCCTATCCTCAGGTGTGGATGCTATGCCCCAAAGTTTAGTGCCATCACTGAACTTAGCCAGTGCGCTTTTGACACCAATGTCCACATCATTGATAAGGACAAAGACTTGGGAGATGCCATTGGTTATGGAGGGCCATAATGACTCGCTGCCATCAACCACTACTCTCTGGGTCGGACCTCAGAGCCAATTTCCCAGCCATCGGACTGTGGTGTAGCCGATCCCACAGTTGGCCAATTTTCCCATGAGGAGGTCATGGGACACCAGATCAAAGGCTTTTTTAAAGTCCATATATATGACGTCAATCTCTTCTCCCTTGTCCAGGTGATACATCACCTGATCATAGAAGGAGATGAGATTGGTCAAGCAAGACCTACGACCTACCCACAACAAACCCGTGCTGGCTATCTCTCAGGATGTTGCCCTCAGCCAGCTTGTCCAGAAGGGTCTCCTTGATAATTTTCTCAAGAATCTCACCAAGGATTGAGGTCAAGCTGATTGGTCTGTAATTCCCGGGATCTACTTTCGACCTTTCTTGAAGATGGGTACCACATTGGCCTTCTTCCAATCTTCAGGTACTTCACCTGAGCGCCACAAATTTTTGAATATTTTTGCCAATGGTTGAGCTATGACACCTGCCAGTTCCTTGAATACCCTAGGGTGTAATCTGTCAGGACCAGCTGACTTAAAGGTGTCCAGTCTCTCAAGGTGATCCTTTACTAGATCAACACTGATGCTGGGTTTAAATACGCCCTCACCCTGGCTGTCCCGTGTCTTGCTAGACAGGGCAGTACCATTGCGCTGGTGAAAGACAGACACAAAGTACCCATTAAGCACTCATTTAACAAGCTTAGTGTCCTTTTTTTAACTTTTTCCAGTTTTAAAATTTACCTTTCTGGAACACCGGGACCGTAACTGCACCAAGTATTCTAAATGGAGTCCAACCAATACCTTTTTCAAGACCTGTAGTACATCCATGTCTCTACTGAATATACCCAACCAAATACTCCCTAAAATTGAGTTAGCATTTTTTAAAAAGGTGTTTCACTGGCAGCTCATGGTCATTCTATGATCAATCAATATGCCCATGCTCCCAGTCTCTGCACCACTACTTATAGCTGAAGTTGTTATTAGTCTCTAACTACATGACCATGCACTTAAAATCACAGAATCATAGAAAATTAAGGGTTGGAAGGGACCTCAGGAGGTCATCTAGTCCAACCCCCTGCTCAAAGATGGGTCATGCTCAACTATATCATCCCAGAAAAGGCTTCGTCTACCCAGGTCTTTAAAATTTCTAAGGATGGAGATTCTACAACCTCTCAGTAACTTGTTTCGGTGCTTTACTACCCTTCCTAGCAACAAAGTTTTTCCTGATTTCTAACCTAAACTTACCTTGCTGCAGCTCAAAACCCTTTCTCTTTGTTCTGTCATCTGCCACCATTAAAAACAGTCTAGCTCCAT